AAAGCGTGCGGTCGTTGGCGCAGAGTTTGCCAGAGTTTCCCGATTTGTTTGCCTTTTTATGACACCATTTTAGATGACATACCGCTCGCCGTGTTTGACATCAGGGCTCAGCTCAAGAGGTCGCTCACCACCGATGATAATAGTAGTCGCACGCAATCCAATGACCAATCGAGAGCTACTTTGGACACCAATTGGCGCCAATCATCGACTCAAGAGTGGGCCAAACCATCGAACCATTCATTGTCTACGAAACCAAACGACTCGCCGAAGACTATGAGAACCAATGACCGCATATTGGAGCCCAACAGTCAGACACTCGAGGATATCGGCTAATGGACCCCAACAGACATCGAGCCATGGATTAGATGGCATCCAATTGGTTGAGACGACCGCCGAGGAGTCGTATTACGGAAAGTGCCGGAAGTACCCGAAGAAGTCACAAAGCGGTCCGTTTAGGCCTCCAAGAAGTGCCCCCGGATTTCCCACTCGACCCCCAGTGTCATCGCTAAACATACCGAAGTCTATGGGCTCGCAGTTGATCCCAAATGGCGCGCAAAGCAAACTGTTGGCCAGACTTCGCCACAAATACCCGGATCTGTCGGATGAGACACTGTTGGATAGTATGGCGAAGACAAAGCGCCGGATCATCGAAAACGGTGATAATGTCCACGGATTCACTGGTATGAAAGTGGCGGACATTGTGGCGAAGATTAGCGATTATATCGACGCCAATGTCGTGGCCATCGATGGTAGGGTAGTATTTGGGGGTAGTTTTTGGTGATAATGTTTGATTTGAAATGTTTTTTGTGTGTGTTTTATAGGTGTCTGACTTGTCGGACAATATGGCGCCGCTAACACATGGGACCCAATCAAGTGGTGATAATATGGATGATAAGTGTAGCCATGGATTCAAACGAAGACTTTCAGCGATTATTATATGATTATGATTTGACTTTTGATACCATTTTTATGATAATACCGATAATTAATTGGTTATTAATTAATTATAATTTTTTAAATTTGATTTTTAGATTTATTAATTGTATTCATTACTTATTACCGATAATTACTGTTATATACGAATGATTAATACGTACCGGTACATTTATGCTATCATTATATTCAAGCATTTTATATAATCTTAAATTTAACTCATTTTTCGGTTAATTGAATAAATAATTTGATAATAATTTATGGTTTTATTTATCGTAAGTAGATAATACATTTGGTATAATGTTATTTAAAACTATTTTATAGTTATAAAATGTTCAAGGTAATGAATTTATAGGAATTGAGTCTATAATATATACAAACTTTAATTTATATATGTTCTCAATATATTCTGTAAGAATATTCCGTAACATTTAAGAAATAAAAGCCAGACATGAATGTGTCACGTGAATGATAAGTACGTGACGGGAATGTCCGGCGTGTGATTGTTGGGCACCGGTATGTGATTTATATTTGACGTGCCCTATTAATGAGAATAATTGGGCACACAATACATGCATTAAATGCATTGCATTACAAACACAATCGCCTACTTACATAGTTAGACAACCGTATAGACTACTAAAAGTTATACTGGATATTTGTTATGCCTTATCTCGGGCTATAACATTAGCCGTATAGTCAATTGTGTACAATATAGCAAAGTATGCGGCAATCAATTCTCATCTCAAGACATAAGCACTTAATTTAATGATAAACACTAATAATGATGTTGTATTGTAATATAAATGATACCATAATATTAAGATAGTATTTTATACTTACTGTGTTTGATAATACCGATAAGTTATTGGTTATAAGTTATAAGTGATTTGGGGAGTACGGTAGTTGTAACAATATTATTAATTTTGTCATTTGTTTAATTGCCTTTTTTTTAATTATTACTAATATTTTTGCTATAGTTTTTAGATAATCTACTGTTAGTGCCATTTTTATTGTCATTTGTAACACATTTTCTATGTTGTAATAGATTGATATTCCCATAAGAATATTCTGTAATTATATGTTAGTATTGTTTTTTCTGGTGCTAGACATGAGTTAATTGAAGTTAGAGAGAGAGAGAGAGAGAGAGAGAGAGAGAGATTTTAGAAATTATATTATTTGATGATATTTTTCTTGATTTCACTATTCATTAGTACTGAATATCACGTAATATTGGAAATACAATAATTGGGAAACAAATGCTAAACTCTATAAACATTAAGCAAAGTTTTAGCTCATAAATCACATAATAGTCATTAGAGACAACATTTGTTAAACTAGTAACATTACCGTTACTTGTATCACATAAACTTGGTATTGGGCTATTACATTGTATACACTATTGTCCAACACTGATATTATGAATGTAGCAGCCAGACAAATTCCACTGGGAGCATGGGAATGTAATGTTTGCAATCACAATTATTCGTATTAAATTTCTAAAATAGGTACATTATAATTTATCACTATAAACAATAATTTTATTAATAAATTACCTGATATGATTATAATTAATTCAATGACTTTTAATAATTTTGTATGTTAATAATTAATTTAAAATATTTTTATTTAAATAATTTATAAATAGATTTAAAATACGATTTAATATCACGTATTTGGTGTCTATAATAAAATGAATTTATGTATTGTAAACAATTTTAAAAATGACATTTCAAATATTTCTATATGAAAAATAGCGAATAAAATATATTACATTTAATATACGGAATTTGTAAAATAATTTTGAATTTGCCATAAAGGGCACACTACATAATATATTATATACAGTATAATATATTGATCACAAGTTGTATATAGTATCTAGCAATAAAGTTGTATAAATTTCTCACAAAAATATATTAGTTTTTAAGCGAAAAATTTTCTGTTACACTGTTTTGTGTTATTTGAATAAATGTATTGTATTTTGTGATTGATTTTGGATTTTATTTGTAGTGAACAATACATTCACTTTTTGGTATTAAAGGGAAATGCATTTCTGGTTTTACATTCATGTTAGACCTTATTTATGCATCTATTTTATGCAAAATATTTTTTGTTTACTATTTTATTTGGATGTCATGTGTATTAATGCCTGTAACTGTTTAAGTGAATGAAAATAGTTTTAAAATTAGTTTTTTTAATTCATTAATTATACATTACTTTAAGTCTGT